TGCAAACTGAGAGCAACAAGTTGGGAATTGAGAAGAAGATCAACATGCATAGAGAGTACGAGGACAGGCACAGAACGGATGGCGTCTGGCCAGTGTTCATCAGGTTGTCCATCCGTGGCCCAGACGTTAAATTTCATTATGGCATGCCTGGATTGTTGAACTGTAAATTGTTTTGCTTTGTTGCGTTGTTGGTTTGGGATGAATTTGTGCTATATGATCCATGTGCATGGATTGCATGGATTTGACGGATTGAATATGAGGACTGTGGTTGTCCGGCAAGACATTTGAGGGATCGTCTGGCGCTATCTAGGATCGCGCTCGTGGTGTCCATGGATGTTTAGCGAGGAGGATTTGCCAAGTCCAACTGTACATGATCTTATAAAGTGTCAAACTGACTACTTCCCTGGGGATGTGGCACCACACAGGGCAGGACGGCTGACGTCCAAGAGTGAAATTTCAAGGTACGGTGTGCTGATCCTACGGCGCTGAACCATCCACGGGGACACTGCGCCCCAAGGCAAGGCCGAGCAGAATCTCCTGAAGTGGGTGATCTCATGGCATGCAGATGCCATTCAAGTTAACTTAGATGTTGTTTTCCCTAAAAAAACGGAGATGTTGTTTCTCGAAAAAAAATCAGGTGTTTACATATTCCTGAATCCTAATTGAACCTACTCCCAATATCTCTTGCTGTTCTGAGGGATCTACTATATTCCACCCAAAAGAGTTAGTAGTCTATGCTGTTTCAATTGTGAAAGTAGTACTCCCTCTGTCCCAAAATATAAGAACATTTTTAACACTACACTGGTGTCAAAAATGTTCTTTTATTATGGGACGGAGAGAGTACTATTTATGTTTCAATTGTTGCTGAATGCACCACAGAATATTTATGTTGTACGAGTTGTAACCCAAACAACTAAATGCGTCTGCATCCATGTATGTACGGAAGGAATAATTTTTTTGTTTCCAAATCAAAATGAACACATAACCTATTTATGCATAAACATAGAGGGAGAAGAATGATGGTTATTTAATCTCTCTGATTGCAAGTTTTTCAGCAGCTACTGAATTAGTCTACTATTACCACTGATTCCACACTGGTCTCAAAAGAAAAGCAAAAACTACTACTGCTGACGAATGCCATCGTTGCTGAATGGACTAGTCCTGAGCCTGGGATCAGACCCCATTTTTATCTTCCTCTGTTTTGTTTCAGAGGAATAATAAGAGAGTCAAAACAAACTCCCCCACTGCTGTTTGTTTACTCTTTCGAGAAAAACATGTGGTAAATGCTAGTTCATGATATAGCCTTCATTCTCTACCTGCTCCCACAGTGCGCTCCTCTTCCGCCGCCCCCAGCAGCCACCGTTGTTGAATTGATAAGTCATGAGTGTGGCATCAGACCAATTTGTTTTTCCTCAGTTTCGAAGAAACAGAGGAATCCCAAGATGTTTGTTTGCCCCTTCCAAAGAGCATGCCAAATTGCAGTACATGGCAGTTCCTGATGACAGCCTTCATCCTTTCCCCCCGCCGGAGCAGTTTGCTTGCTCCGGTTTGAATCGCCTTCCCGTCTTCCTCTCTTTTGGAGCGAGGGGTAGCAGTAACGGAGACGGCGGTGGGTGGGGGAAAAAGAAGTGAGGCTAGCCGCTAGCAGCTTTAGGGAAAACTTATAGTTTGAACGTCGATAACTGCCACATGTATGGCAGGAAGAGAGACGCACCACACGTCTCTAATGCAGATAGATTGTCACGTCATCGCATGCATGCGTGCGAGAGTCTTTTTGAATTTTCAGTTTTTAAAATGTTTTATCTCTTAAATGAAAAATCCGATTGAAGATCCGTTTTCACCATTAAATACCTCGCGATGAGATCTTCAAAACTAGATCTCATATCAATATATTTCGTAGAATTTTTTTTGGGTTAAAAATTGCCATGTCTATTGCACATGAATTGCCACGATGTTTACACTGAAGTTGCCATGATATGTTTCAGTTATTTTCTTTTACATTTAAAAGTAATTTTTGACATATTATAAAACGAGGAATTAAGAAACTAAACTTGCCATGCACCATAAACTAAAATTGCCATGATACATGCACTTAAAATTACCATGATTCATACAAAAAAATATTTTCATGGTCAAAGTACTGGAATTGCCATCATCAAAATACTAAAATTGCCAGGATCTACAAACTAAAATTGCCATATGGCAACTTTAGTTTAAGCACTATGGCAACTACAGTGTAAACATCATGACAACTTCTGAGTAAAAAAGAAAAAATTCGTCGAAACATATCAACATGGGGCCTAGTTTTGAAGATCTCCTTGAGACGGATTTAATGGTGAAAACTAATTTTTAATTCGCTTTTTAAATTAAGAGATAAAACATTTTAAAGCCAAAAATCAAAAAGATTTCTATTGATGTCATCTATTCATACGTGGCAAAATGAATGGTGATGGAGGCGTGTGAGAGATATGCAAACGCCCACACGTGTGGGCATTAGTTTTTCCGTATAATTTTGCGCGGACTCATCCTCATGTCACACCTCGCCACCGCCGTTGTCGTTCTCCCTGCCAACATCGCCCCACATCCCTATTCCATCCCCGGCCATGGCGCGGTGCTCCGTTCTTTGCGGCCCTCTCTCTTACTCTTGCTCTTGCTCTTGCTCTGCCGCATGGATAGCTATGCTGATCAACCGATGGAATACACGCGCATGTCTGTTGCTCGACGAAATGCCGTCACGGATGGATCCCCTCTACATACATCCGTCTGCCCGTCTGCTCTCTTCAAGAACAGCATGAGGATTGGACTCAACCCCTCCGTCAAAGGCCCGTCCCATCCACCTTCCTGCCAAATCCCCCCTTACACTCAAACATGCATGCCTCCTGTTCTTCGATTCATTCTAGCCTCTCGTCCGGGTAAGCCAACACTTGTCTTTTCCATTTCATTAGCTAAGGACCGAATGCATGCACGCTGTGTTGTTCACCACCAAATCAGTTGAGGTGTCTACATGGGCACATGAGGAAGACAATTGATTGTTGGCATTGGGAATTCGACCACCGTCACATCTAACGCTAACCAGCTTTGCCTTCATACTTTTATCAGGCAGGTACAAAGACTAAGAAACATGAAAGGTTGAGAACGGCATAAGAGAGAACTCGATCGACCCGACGTTTTGCATCCCTATTCCATCCCCTGGCCGGCCAGTAGGTATTTCTTGTTTAAAAATGTCTAGTTAGCTGTTTCCACCCGCTCATAGGTTATCGATAGGTTTGCCTTTACAGAATGCCGAGATGATGCGCAACCTCTCCGATGATTGTATATCATGGTGAACCTGACAGTTCGGCTATCTGATTTAGCTGCCAGACTATTATTTACTATTCCAGTTGTGAAATATATACACTAATGTGCTACAAACACCCATGTGACAACAGTGCTAGAGGCAAGCTCCATCTTCAGTTGGTTAACATGAACAAAGGTTCCATCGAAGTCGATGTTGTATCTTATTTATAGTTCAGGACATCCTTCCGAGCTACAAATACACGCACAACCAGGGAAAGCGATATGTTGTGCCATATTTAGATCTGGCTTCTTTTAACAAAAAATGAAGCTTTTATTACCACTGATCTCTGCATCATAGATGCACATATAACCATAATTGTTTTTGTCCGCTAATTATTTAAAAGTAAACATATGCATGAGTTGTGGGTTCAGCTATGCCTAAGGCTGATCCTGAGGAGTTTGGGGATTAATTATTTACACAAATGTCAACTTAATTTGGCCATCCACAAATGTCAACTTAATTTGCTGATGGAGTGATAGTAACATTGGATGTTAGCCATCACAATCTGGATGGTAGCAAATTAATTCAAAGAAAGTATAAAGAACTAGTATGGGTGTGGGTATGGGTAGGCGGCCATGTTTAGGCCGTCTGGCTCAGTTGACTTTTAGTTCTGAAGCCATGATTTAGCTAATTTGAAAAATGCTCACTATTTAAACAATATTTTCGAAAATTGCTCATTCAGTTATGACATTGATCTATGCCTGCTAATTATGTATATTCCTAATTCAGCTACTAGAATATTGTCTAAGTTGTGAAATATACTTATCTCGGCCAGCTCAAGCCCACAACTCCGTGTGACGACACATGCTAGTGGCTAGCTCAATGTTTGGTTAACGTGAAGGGGTACACTGATCGATGAGTTTCTTAATTAGGACCTCATTCGATACCCAAGTCTTCTCATTTAATGAGGTCGGTCTGTCATGGCTACGCCTACTATACATATTAGGTACATGGCTTTTTTCCATTGAGCTGGTTTCATAGAGAATATGTTGGTTTTATGTGCTAATTAGTAGTCGGAAAATTCTAAAATAGACTATCATCAATCAACTTTCTTATCTCTTATATATCACCACCCGAATTTGCTTTTTTTTAGAAAAGGAGGATGACCCCCGGCCTCTGCATGACGATGCATACGGTCACTTTATTAATTATTCTCACAAGACCTTACAAAGTAATACCGTAGTAAGACTAAAGCCGCCGTATAAGCAACAAACTGTGGCTACACCTATCCAGTTGATGAAGGGGCGCAGATAGCCTGGGCCTAATACCAAACAGACATCGCACCACCAGAATTTGCTAGTCTATCAAGCGTCATGAACAGTAGGCATAACTCCAGAAATAGTTTCCCCGAAGTTGACACTCGGGACAAAACACTCGACAGTCGGAACCTTATAGTCGGGATGATCATTCATCCAAATAGGTTTGTTATTAACTTATTATATCTAATTGCAGCTGTGATCTGGTGGAGTATTAAGTACCTACTGTGGCTAGATGACTAGTTGACTTGCAGTTTCCTTTAATCAAAGAGTACGCATCGATCTCTAAGCTCCTTTGCAGGTACTAGTATATAGAAGGGCAAGTGATCAACTAGTTTTGGGTAGTACCACCACCACCACCATCAGCGCTACACCAACCACCTATAGGTACCAGCTGGCCGCCGGTCATGGAGGTGGTGACCGGGGCGACGAGCAGCGTGCTCTCCAAGCTGGGAACGCTGCTCCAGGAGGAATACTACCTCCAGAAGGGCGTGAAGAAAGACGTGGAGTCCCTGCAGAACGAGCTCATCTTCATGCGTGCCGCCCTGTGCAAGGTCGCGGAGGTGCCGCCGGAGCAGCTGGACACGCAGGTCAAGGCCTGGGCCGGCAACATCAAGGAGCTCTCCTACGACATGAAGGACGCCGTGGACACCTACGAGGTGCGCGTGGCCGGCAACGGGCTAGTCGACGGCGACCAGTACTTCACCTGGGTCGTCAAAATGGCAGACACCGTCAACAAGGTCAAGGCTCGCCATCTGCTCGCCGGAGTCATTGCGGAGATGAAGGACCTCACCATGCAAGTGGCCGAGCTGCGTGACAGGTGCGCCCGCGCCCCGTTCCGAGGCTAGGTTACTAATTTTTTTTTTATAATATCAGTACTTCTTCCCGGCCTGCCTGCAAAATTATGAAGACGAATTAATCAGTATGAATAAAACTTAAGCTGATTTTATACATAGGGGCAGCCATTAACTAATTAATTTTTAGGGACACATCAGAGTATATATATTCAGGTATGAATTACCTTTCTTTTCTTGAGCTCGAGTGGTATTTGGGTTTCACAATTTATTTTGACATGGTAACCAAGTGAGAAGTACGGCCCTGTAAAATCTGCTTAGAAATCACAATCTTTAGACACATGAATTTACTCTAATGTCTGATTCGCATATGTAAAAGGAATTAACTTCTGAGTGTGACATACTGCTATACTGTAACTTCTTTGGAGGCATAAAACCGGAGTAATCTTAGAGCATCTCTTGATGCTTGTCTTTATGGTGGTCAATAGCCGACATAGACTATGTATGTGAGCCAAAAAAGGGTACCCAGTAGCTCATCCATCCAGTTTGCTTGATATTTTCCAAATTCAGACTACCCCCTCCACGCCTGACACTGACCTTTTGGTTGCGTTGGCTAATGCATGAAGCTTAACAATCTAAACCTCAACTTCATTTGACGTTGTCCAAAAAGCACTCTTCGGTGAAATATAAAAGATGGTATACCGATGTTTTCATAAGAAAATAAATTTAAATGTATATATGTATGCATACCTCCAGGGAGCTATAACACTCTGGTTCCAGCATATCGGCCCGTGCTCTAAGATTTGCATATTTTCAGCTTTGTTCGAGCACATTCCCAATTCACCCCATAATATAGTTAATTCTGCAGTGCCACCATATAAAAAAATAACAAAATGGTTTTATATTTGACTATTACTTTACCGTTAATTCAGTTTCATTGCTAACATGCATATGAACAGATCAGTACAAGCTCTTGAATTAGTTCATGATGTTTTTTATAGTACAGCACAGTGTAAAGACATAAAATGTTTGAATATCAATGAACAATCTGAGAGTAGACAATAGAGTGGTATACTGGTATAGCCCGCTTGTGGTGAAAAATTCCACTCACTGTCATATGCACACGTATTGTGTAAGTTTAAGCCGAGTGGTGTAGGATTAATAAACTGATATATTGTGTGGGTGATGTCCATTGATCAGGTACAAGCTCGACAACATCGCCGCTAGTAATGATCAGCAAGTAGCGGAAGACATCAAAGTGTCAATAAACTATCAGCCCTGGACGTGGTGGCTTCCCCGCTACGGCGACATTATTTCTTTCCTGGTCACTTGTCGAATCAAGGTGCGAGCAGAGCAAGAGACCGGCCACAAGGACTCTCTAGGAACTGGGTTTGATGCGGCAATCCCTAGGCTTATTGGCATGAAGGATCCGGTGGGGGTGGGTGTTGACATGAAGAACCTCTGCCAGTGGATGACCAGCTCACAAGATGTGAAACTAAATAATGTGCTTTGCATTCTCGGTGTCGGAGGAGCTGGAAAGACCACCATGGCCACAGCCTTGTATCGAAAGTACGGTGACCGGTTTGACCTCCGAGCAACAGTCACAGCGTCTCAGCTGAGCAGCTCCTGCGGCCCAGCCGTCCTTAGGAGCATTCATAGACAAGTAATGCCGCAGCCCAAGCTGGATCACAATACGGCTGACATCATCGAAGGCGCCATGAAAAAATGCTGTTTTAATGCAACCGTTTGTGGGATGCTACCTAGAGCTACCAGCTGCCTCAAACGCATTAAGGGTGATGGGCTGCAAGATTCCAACCCCTCGGTTGAAAATTACAATAACATTATCACCAACGAGTTGAAAAATCGACTGAAGGACCGCAGGTGCATGTCTATCTATCTCTTTTACAGTTGATTAATTGATGGCCGGATGCCATACGTTTTTGTAACAATTTTTTTCATGAATTGCAGTTATCTGTTATTAATTGATGATGTCCGGTCTGAGAAAGCGTGGAAGGAGATTAGGGGTTCACTTCTTGGGCTAAGTTCTAAAAGATGCATAATAATAGTTACAACAAGGTCTCCAGCTGTTGCTGCGGCATGTAATGAAAAGGGAAATGAAACTGATAGGTTGAGCACTACGCACAAGGTGGGATCCTTTGGTACGGATAACAGCAAAGAGATATTCATGGAAGCTTTGTCTGAATCAAGAAGTGGTCTAAAAGATAGCACTAATGCTATTTCTAATAACATTCCACCTGCTCGGCTGTGGGAGATGTGCGGGGACCAGCCAGTGGCCATAATTGCCATGGCTGCTCACGTCGCCTACAACCTAGACAAGCCTGTAGATGAATGGAAACAAGTTTGCAGTAATCTCTTGCCGGACTCTGTGAAAGCTGTTGCCCCGGACGGTGTTCCTCGGATACTTAGGCACTGCTACCATGATATGCCTGCCGAGATCAAGACCTGCTTCCTGTATCTTAGTATGTATCCCAAGGGCTGCAAAATTAGCAGGAAGCATCTCACCAGGAGATGGATAGCAGAAGGTTTCGTCGAAGAGAAGCCGGGGCAGAGCATGCAGGAAGTGGCAGATGATTACTTGGATCAGCTCATCAGGAGGAAGATGGTACAGCCCGTGGAGCAAAGCAGCAACGGCAAGGTGAAGAACTGCGAAGTTTATGAACTTGTTCATGACTTCATCGTGTCCATGGCAAGCGAAGAGAACTTGGTGACTGTGATCGTTGGCGGCTCTTACTTGGTACCACCGTCTAGTGGAAAACTCCGCCGGTTGTTGTCCCACTCCATCCCTGCTGAGAATGATGATGCAGCCGGCCAGATCAGTTTGAACATGTCGCATGTCCGATCACTTGTGGTGTTCGAGGATTTGGAAGCAAGAGATCACCTTGGTAGTGATAATGTTTCCCAGTCGGTACCACAACCTTTAACCTCACGTGACTGCCCAATTTTGCAAGTGCTAGATCTTGAAGGTTGCAGGGATGTCCACCATCTCGACACAAAACAAATGAGGCTGATATGCAACATGCTTCTTCTCAAGTACCTCAGCCTCCGAAGGACAGACATTGTGAACCTCCCGAGAGAAATTGGGAAACTCAGCAAACTGGAGACTCTGGATATAAGGGAGACCGAAGTTACAGTGCTACCTCATACAGTATGGCATCTTGAACATTTGGTTAGCTTGCTTGGTGGTGACAAAACTACAAGTCCACGGAAGGCATTTAAGCTTCCTGCCAACAACACCAAGAAGGCGACGACAATGAAATCCCTGCAGGTCTTGTCGGGGATTGAGATCACTGAGGGGTCACTAGAACATCTTAAGGATCTGATTAAACTGAGGAAGCTTGCCATCTACAGGCTCGAACTGGACAACAAAGTGGAGAGCAACATGGAAGGTTTGAAATCATGGATAGAACGCCTAGGCGACAACTATCTACACACACTGGTAATTACGTTTGCAGATCAAGAGCAGCTGATTGAGGTTAAGCACTCGTCTTTCAAGTTACTTACTGCTCTGGAGATATCTGGCACCGGTACGTTAGTTGTCGAGCTCCCCGACTGGATCAAAGAACTTACTGTTCTGGCCAAGATCACCCTCCCAATAACAGCACTCCGCTCAGACACACTAGACCACCTCAGTTTGATGTTGTTACTTTTCTCTCTCACTTTCGCATCAGAGTCAGAGACAATTCCAGATAAAGTCAATGCCATCATCCAGAGGAACAAGGCAGACTCCTATGGGGAAATAATCATACCAGGTGATGGGTTTTTGGGTCTCAAGCTTCTTCGCTTCTCTGCTCCCTCCATGCCACCACTGAGTTTTCTTGACACGGCAATGCCCAATCTGGAAAGACTCGAGCTTCGTTGCAAAACATTGGAGGGCCTCTTTGGCATAGAAAACCTCAAGGAGCTCAAGGAGGTGCATCTCAGTGTACATATACAAGCAGATCAGTTTACCAAGTCGCTCGTGAAGAACATCGCAGCTGCAGCCGAGGGCACAAGGATAATTTGTGATGAGTATCAAGAGTGAACACATGTATCGACATCACCACATGACATGGGGTGACTGATTTGCTATGCCCACTATATTATGACCAGTTAATTTCAAAGCTTTTGTTTTGTTTTTCAACAGACCAGCTTAACTAGTCAAATTATGTTACTTTGTCACACACACTATCTCAGTTCCATGAAACATACTGTGGAAATAGTTTAATCTCTCTATGATTTATCGGAGAAAACACGTTCGTTATATCTGCCATCCGGGTCTAGACTGATGACTCTGATTTTTTCAAGCAACCGGCAGGATCGCTTCCTTTTCATTGAGTATGGGGAAAATATGTACTTGCTGGCAGAGATTTAGATTTCGTCCTAGAAAAATGAATTTCTGGAGAAATTCGTCTGTTTCGTCGGTGCATAACGCTCCTAAGAGCATCTCCAGCCGTTGACCCCCAGGCGACGATTTTAGGCACCCCGGGCGAGCCGGCGTTAAAATCGGCGCGGGGGCGAGCGGGTTCCCAGCCGCCCCAGGGTCGCCCCCAGACGCGGGTTTTTTAAAAAAAAAACTAAATTCGGCAAAGTTCGGCAAATTAGACAAAACGTTCGGCTAAATTCGGCAAACTTGACATCATGTTCGGCGTTATTACATAAGTTATTTTAAAAGAACCAACTACGGGGCGAAGAAGTCGCTCAGCGCGGCGAAGTCGCCGACGTCGCCGCCGTCCTCGTCGTCGGCGGCGGTGGCCTTCCCTTTCTTGATGGCGCGGCCACCCCTGCTGGACCCCTGCCCGGTGTCTCCATGGCGGACCGGTGGCGGCGGCGCGTCGTCGTCGCTGTTGTCGAGGATGACGACGCCTGCCTCGTCCCGGCCACGGCGCCGAGCTTCGAAGCGCTCATAGGCGAGGCGCTGGCGCTTCAGCCCCAGCTGCGCCCAGTCATCGCGCGCCCATTTGAGGGCCGCTGTGTCGTCGAGCTCCTCCTCCTTGACGCCGCCGGCGAGCCCGGGCTCCGTCTTCACGACGGGGAGCCCCGACTCCATCTTGATGGCGGCAAGCCCCGCTCCGTCTTTGGCTTGACGTAGCGCAGAGGAGCCGAGGAGGGGGCGCGCCTGCCGCCCTCGTTGATGACAATACCGGCGCTGCGGGTGCGCCGACCGAGCGGCGTCTCCGCGGCGGGCTCCGTCTTGACGCCGAACAGCGTCGGCGAGCCGAAAGAGTGGGAGGAGGAGCAGGAGGACGACTGAGATGAGGAAGATGAGGAGGAGTCGAACCTCGTGGGCACCCATGGCTCGGTGCTCCGGCGTGGGGGCGGGACGGCCGCCGCGGCAGGGTATGCCAGCGTCGGGTCATTGCCGCCCTCGAGGTACGCCAGCACCTCGTGGAGTGTGCAGCCCGGGACACCCCACCAGACGTGGCGCCCGTCGCTGTTCTTGACGCCGCCCACCACCGGCGCCCCGTTTGTGGACGCCAGCCGCTGCACCTGCCGGCGCTGGAAGTACTCTGCCCACGCACGCGGTCGACCTCGGCGGCGAAGATGCCGGGGCGTGCCTCGACGTCGGGCAAAGGAGGGATGGAGACGCCCCCGTTGTTGAGCCTCCACCCCGTTGGCCGGTGCGCATGTCCGGCGGCGCCGGGATGTTGGCCTCGAACAGGAGGTACGCCTCCCACTCCTGGAGCGAGCGGCGGCCGAAGCCGTTGGCTGCCGCGGCGTCGCCGGGAAAGCGCTCGGCCATGGAGAGGGAAAGGGAAGGGGAGGGAAGGGGGGAGCGGCAGAGCTCGACGGCAGACGGGAGGGAGGCAGAGCTCGGCGACTGGTTTGGGCTCGGCGGCTCGGGCTGGTGTGGCCAGCGGCGAGGGGAAGCCTCTTGTTTCATAGCCCCGCGCCGTGTGTACGCGTGGCGGAAGGGGAGGCGTCCCCGCGCCCGCGCCACCCGTGAGGAATCAATGGCAAGGCTGACTGGCGGCAGCCTTGCCATTGATTCCTCGCGGGAAACCGAGGTGTTCCGAGGATGGCGAAGCGCGTGCCGTTGACTTGGAAGGCCCGCGACCCTTTCGCGCCAAAACGCCTGGGGAGGGCCTGTTAAGGGCGTGGCTGGAGATGCTCTAACTACTCATGCTTCCAGGCAGGGGTCGAATAGAGGATGGCGGTGCGGCGTCAGGTGGACTTGTGGCGGCGGCTATGGCGGTCCTCGGCGTCGGCGAGGTGCGGCTCGGCGCGGGCGTCGTGTTGGTGGCGGTGGAGGTCCTCGGGAGCGTCCGGGCGGAGCTAAAGGAGGCGGCGGTGCTCCGGTGCTCCGGCGAGCTCGGCGTCGATGGTTTAGTCGCTCCGGCAAGACCTAGGCGACCAAGATGTGTTAAAACTGTGCACCTCATCGAGATAAGAAGGTTGACAGACGGAGGGACCTCGGGCATACCCACCCGCGAGGAATTTCTCCGGCAAAGGGTTCGGCTCCGACGAGATTCGAATGTATGGGGCGGCGGCTATGTGCGGCGTGGGACGTAGCGAGATGGCGAGTGTGGCGGAGGAGTTCGGGGGCCTTTATAGGCGAGTCTAGGAGGCTCGAGGATGCGGCGTAAGCCCTACCCCGAGCGGAGCGCGGGGGCGGTTGCGGCGGCGTAGGCATGGCGTGCTCATCCGAGCGGCGCGGCGGGAGGTTGAGGGTGACTCGGGGCTGGAGGCCCCACTGGTTAGCGGGTGCGGGCAAGTGAGCGAGGAGCGTGGGGCGTGGGCGGCCGGTGCGAAGCACCTTCGGGCGCTGGGGTAGGTCGCGGGCCAAAACGCGGCTGGGCCGGTGGGGCGCTCCTGGGCCGAGATGGCCGCGGTCCAGGTTGTGTTTTTTTTCTTTTTTTTACGAAAATGTTTTTGAGGTAAAAAAACAACTCCACAAGAATTTAGAAAAATACCATAATAATTTCTGAAATCGCTATTGAAAATATGGAGAATAATGAACATTAATTACAGCACACATAATTTTGAAAATAATTTTCGAATGCAACAAATGCACCTTTTTGCCAATAAAATAGATACCAAATAAACTCAAAAAACTCTAAATAATATTATAATGAATTTTCCAACTTTTTATATTTGAGGAAGTCATTTTATCCCCTCTCTTTATTTATGCCTCTGTTTGTTTTTGCGACGGACGCCATGGCAATTGCTCCTAGCGCTTTCTCTCGCTCCCGCGAACAGCAAGATCTAGGGCTTGTCTTCGTTTGAGGAAGATTTACTCCTGCGATCTCCCCTTGTTTCCCTTGCCTCCGATCTCCTGTCCTCTCTGCACGGTCGCTACTTTCCTTCTGCTCGCGGTTCAGGGTGATGTAGGGGCGATCTGTGTATCGTTTCCCACCCTTGGCTGCGGTCGGTTGCCAATTGGTTGCCGTGTCTATGGTGGGGGATGGTGAGGTTGTGGGACAGAATTTCTGGCTCTTGCGAGTATTCCTCCTGGTGGTAGTGGTGCCCGGGTACCGCCGGCATCCGCTCCTGTGGGGAAATCGCGAGGTGACCCAAGTTCATCTATGGGGGCCGCTAATTCTGGTTAGGGCTCCCGAGGGGAAGAATTGATGGAGAAGCTTCGACTAACTGCGGTCGAGGCCCAACCTGTGATGCGGAGGATGAAGATTAGGCGGATCCTGTCGTTCCGGAGCATGCCCTAGTTGGGAAGGTCCTTGCTCCCAATGTGCTTTATATCCAGACGATCGCTGCGGCCATGAGGTCGGCCTGGGGGAACCCAAAAGGTTTGCAGCTCCACCCTGCGGGGGACAATATTTTTGTCGCGGAATTTAGTTCGCAAGCGGATCGTGACTGTGTGATGAATGGTTCTCCATGGACGGTGGGAAAGCATGCTGTTCTACCGAAGCTTTTCGATGCGGAGGTCCTGCCGTTGCAAGTTAAGTTCGATCGCCTTGTCGTTTGGGCTAGAATCATGGCACTTCCTCCCAGATGATGAAGGCCAAGTCTGGTATGGAATTTGAGAAGCCAATTGGTAAAGTTTCCTATGTGGAGTCTGATGTCGATGGGCGGTGTTGGGGCGCTTTGATGCGCGTCCGTGCTGATATTGATGTTCAGGAACCGGTGGTCCGGTATGTGAAAGTGTCTTCGGCGAAGTTGAAGACTACAGAAACCTATTCAATGATGTATGAGAGGCTGCCATTTTATTGTTTGTCTTGTGGCGTGCTTGGACACTCTTCCATGCTATGCCCTAACCCTGGTGGTCGTGATGAGAATGGAGAGCTGTCGTATGTATCCAGGAAGGTTTGTGTTCATGACCATATGAAGAAGAGAGATGGCCCTAATTCTAGTAACGCTTCATCTCCCCCTAAATTTGGGGGGACATGCTGCTAAAATTCTATGACTGGTTCTCGTGCTTCTGCTGCAGGTTCCCGTTCAAAGAAATCTAGCCAACGTACCGATGGGGATGGTGATGGTTCCTCTCTTATCAGAGGGAGGCCACCTTCCGAAGGTAGTCGGGGCTGGTCAAATCGTGGACGTGGCAGAGGCGGTCTATGGTGCTTATAGGGAGCAGTTTGTATCAAAAGTTCCAATAAATCTTTGAATGGGCAGAAGCAGAAGTCTGCAAAGGTTCTCCGGCATGCTTCTCCAAGTGTTGTTGATAAGGAGAGTCCCAATACTCTTGCACTTGTGTTAGCGAATGAGGTCATATGTGATTCAGGTACCAATGTGGAGCATACTAATGATGATGGTCACAAGAAACAACGTACTACCCCTTCACGATCGGCGGATCCGGCGGAGTCTGCAGTGCAGCCTCAGCAGACGCAATGAGTATTATATGCTGAAACTATCGAGGATTGGGGTCGGCCTCGACAGTTGGCGAGCTTCACTGGCTTGTGAAGCTTCACTGACCCACCCTCCTCTTTCCGTCAGAGACGAAGATGAGGGATTCCCATGTCCATAATTTTATGTGGTCTTTAGGTTTTTTTGGTTGCTTTGCTATTCGTTCAGAGGGTCAAAGTGATGGACTAGCTCTTTTTTGGAAGGATTTCGGTGGCTGTATCCCTGAAGGCATGCAACTCGAGA